CCTGTGGATGGATTTCCATCCAATGTGGCATGGCTGCAGATAAGCTCTTTGATTTTTTATTCCTGTGAGTTTGCATTTGGCTGTTTAATCGTAATAAACTCCTTGATGCAGCACTTAGCCAGCACCCCCTTGTGTTCCTTTTTGTAATTGACAAGGATTTTGTCACTTAAGGTTTTTGTTTGTTGTTTATAAGCCCATGCTGGCTTGTAAGGCATCTGATCAATCTGACCTTGGTTTGATCAAATACTTTTGAAGGCAGAGGAGAGATCTGGGGTCTATCCCAGATCTTTAAAAAAAACAGACAGCGTAAACAATGTAAATAAAATAAATTATATATATCCTAAAAAATGTAAAGTCTGTTCTCACATGCTAATGTTGACTGTATTTACTGGCAATATAAGGACTTCAACTCGGACACTTTGAGGCTAGATTACTAAAGGAAAGGAAAATAAAATAAAATGAACAAGTATACAGTGATCGGTATATAGGTTAAGTGTAGCATTCAACTCAATCACTAAACACTTACATTCACCGACAATGAATGAATATTTAGAGTGCATGTCCAGCCAAAACTTTACTTAGTCTTCGATACAGTGGGGAAAGGTTAGAACCCCTGTAATGTTTTTTCTCCACTATAGATATTTACTCTCACTTTCTGTTCTGCTGACAATGTTTTACTGAACAGAAAGTGAGAGGAACTTTCCAATAGTACTGTAGAGAAAAAGGCAAGAACCCCAATCAGATTTTCATTTTTGTCTGTTTTCCAAGTTGCAGATTTGTCTTCATTTCCTGTCTGGTCACACCGCTGTCAGCAGGACAAGAAGTGATGGTAAATCTTTTTAACAGAGCCCTAGATAATAGGAAAAACCTGACGGGGCTCCAGTTCTGCCCTAATCTATCCAAAAACTAAGAATTTTTTTTTTGCTGGACACAGTTCATAGAGGCCTCAACTAGAAATGATGCTCTGCTGGACCTGGTAATCTCAAACCATGCAGAGCTTATTACAAATGTCCATATAAAAGAACATCTGGGTAGCAGTGACCATAACATGATTTCATTTATTGTTAGCTGTAAACAGCAAGCACATACAGAAAAATAAAAACTCTCAATTTTAAGAGAGCTAATTTTCCAAGGCTGAGAGCTGTTCTCCAAGACTTAGACTGGGAAGGAATATTGGCATCAATGAACACAACACAGAAATGGGAGTTCTTCAAAAAGACTGTATTATGTGAACACACTGCAAAATATATTCCCATGGGCAACAAGTTTAAAAGGCTAAAAATCAAACCTATGTGGCTAGTGGCCAAAGTTAAAAAAGCTATAGATAATAAGAAAAGAGCTTTTATTAAATATAAAAATGAATGTATGCTATCATTGTTTAAACATTACAAAGAATATAACAGAATATGCAAAAAGGAAATCAAGGCCGCAAAAACTGAAAACGAACCACAGATTGCAAAAGACAGCAGGACCAACCCCCAAAAATTCTTCAAATATATTAATAGTAAAAAGGTCTGGTCCGAACATGTAGGCCCTTTACAAAATAAGCTAGAGTGGGTGACTGGGGACAAAGAGAAGGCAAATTTATTAAATACCTTCTTCAGCTCTGTGTATACAAAGGAGCATGGAGGAGCTCTTGTCCATAATAGGCATGGTATTGACACAGCTCCAGATGATCCACATTGGCTCACAATTGATATGATCCAAAAATATTTAGACAGTATAAAGGGGAATAAAGCACCTGGACCGGATGGCATACACCCATGGGTCCTTAAAGAATTGAGCTCTGTCATTTCAAAGCCATTGTTTCTTATTTTTAGAGACTCTTTAATGACTGGCATAGTACCATTGGATTGGCGTAAGGACAATGTGGTGCCTACATTTTAAAAAGGGGTCAAAATCTATACCAAGTAATTATAGACCTGTTAGTTTAACTTCTATAGTTGGGAAGATACTGAAGAGTTTAATAAAAGATCACATAGATGAGTTCTTGCTGGAAAAAAATATTTTAAGCAACAGACAGCATGGATTCATGAAAGACAGAAGTTGTCAAACAAATCTGACTTCTTTTTATGAGGAGGTGAGCAAAACCTTGGACAAAGCGGTGGCGGTGGATGTGGTATACTTGGATTTTGCAAAAGTGTTTGACACAGTTCCCCACACACGGCTAATGTGTAAGGTAAAGTCTACGGACTTGGAACAATCTGTATGTAAATGTAGAGAAAACTGGCTAAAAGATCATGTTGAGAGAGTAGTGGTTAATGATTCATACTCTGAATGGTCTAGGGTTGTTGGGACCCTTACATTTTAATATAATTATAAACGATATAGGGTCTGGGATTAAAAATACCATTTCAGTCTTTGCAGATGACACCAAGCTGTGCAGTGGAATAACGTCCTTACAGGATGTCTCCAACTTACAAGCCGACCTCAATGCACTGTTTAATTGGGCAACTATGTGGAAAATGAGGTTTAATGTTGATAAATGTAAGGTTCTGCACTTGGGGGCTAAGAATATGCATGCATCATACATACTAGGGGGAGTACAACTGGGGGAATCAATGGTGGAGAAGGATCTGGGAGTTCTGGTAGATCATAAGTTTAATAATGGCATGCAATGCCAAGTTGCGGTTTCTAAAGCAAGCAAAATCCTCTCTTGTATTAAAAGGGGCATATACTCCAGAGAGAGAGATATCATATTACCCCTGTACAAATCATTAGTAAGACTTCATCTGGAATATGCAGTTCAGTTTTGGACACCAATTCACAAAAAGAACATTGGGGAACTGGAAAAAGTACAGAGAAGGGCAACCAAACTGATACGTGGCATGGAGGAGATCAGCTATGAGGAAAGATTAGAGGAACTGAATTTATTCTCTCTTGAGAAGAGGAGATTAAGGGGGGATATGATCAACATGTATAAATACATCAGTTGTTCATATAGTGAACTCGGTGTAGAGTTATTCACCCTGAGGTCATCACAGAGGACAAGGGGGCACTCTTTACATCTGAAGGAAAAGAAATATAATCTCCAAACATGGAAAGGTTTCTTCACAGTAAGAGCTGTGAAAATGTGGAATAGAGTCCCTCAAGAGTTGGCCTGGATTATTCCTTGGATATACAGAATATAACTGGATACTAACATTTATAGGTAAGGTTGATCCAGGGAATATCCGATTGCCTCTTGGGGGATCAGGAAGGAATTTTTTCCCCCTGCTAGAGCAAATTGGGAAATTGGACATGCTTTGCTGGGGGTGAGTTGCCTTCCTCTGGATCAACTGTGGTGTAAGATTACAACTTTTTTTTTTGTAACTATACACTTTAGCTATTTAGGCTTCTTGACTTTTTTCAGTGCACTCAGAACAGAGCTAGGAAAGTGTACCTATTGTTGAAGAGAAAGTATAATGTATTTAGAGTGAGTACATATTTTGATTTGTTAATATGGTGGCATTCTTTCTCTCTTTCTCTCTTCTCTCTTCCTCTCTTCCTCTCTTCTTCTCTTTCTTCTTTCTTTCTTTCTTTCTTTCTTTCTTTTCCTTTCTTTCTTTCTTTCTTTCTTTCTTTCTTTCTTTTTCTTTCTTTCTTTCTTTCTTTTTCTTTCTCTCTTTCTTTCTCTCTTTCTTTCTCTCTTTCTCTCTTTCTTTCTCTCTTTCTCTTTCTCTCTTTCTTTCTCTCTTTCTCTCTTTCTTTCTCTCTTTCTTTCTCTCTTTCTTTCTTTCTTTCTTTCTTTCTTTCTCTTTCTTTCTTTCTTTCTTTCTTTCTTTCTCTTCTTTCTTTTTTTCTTTCTTTCTTTCTCTCTTTCTCTCTTTCTTTCTTTCTCTCTTTCCTTTTTCTTTCTTTCTTTCTTTCTCTCTTCTTTCTTTTCTCTCTTTCTTTCTTTCTTTCTTTCTTTCTCTCTCTCTCTATCTCTCTAAAAAGGTTAACTAAAAGATGCATATTTAAAAAAAAAAAATGTAAGGGACCTTTCAAATTATAGTTTACCATTATCATGAAAAATGAAGTCCGTGCTATGACTCTAGCTGCATAGCTGCAAAGTTTCAAAGGGGTTGCTTAAAGTGATACTAAACTCATGCTACTGAATTAACAATATGAGGTCCCTCACAGTACATAAAACATGGTAATGCATTTATTTTAGTAAAGTGGAACCACTAAATACCTTTTCTCAGCAGTGGTATACAGTGGTCATGTGACTGGTTTCTGTGTCCAGCCGAGTGCTGGTTCAGCTTCTAGGAGGAGTTTTCATTCTTCTCTGAGTCTCCTCCATGCAGAGGCTGCATGACCCATGACCCTCTGTTTGGACAGCGCTGATTGGCTCTTTGCCAATCACATGCACTCTCTACTAAAGCCTGTGTCCACAGGATAATATGGGAGGCAGTGCCTCCATCAATCTAGATGTGACATCCCACCCACTGTGTACTTTTTAAGTTACTGGGCATGGAGGAGGGACTGGGCTGTCATTTAGGATCTCTATACATGCTCTAATGTGTGATGTCAAAGTCATGTGACCTGAATAGCTCCAATCATAGAGGGAATGTTCTTTCTAGTAATATACACAAAACAGAGCATGCACAGACTTGCGACTGCTGCTCTGTACAATCGGCAGATGGATTTGGACTGTATAAGACAGAAAGAATCAGAGAAGACAGGATCAACCAGCCTTTTTACACAATGCAGAGGATTAACCCCTTAGGTTCCACACTGAGCATAACAAGGATACTTTTACTGCATATTCAGATTGATTTTAGTATTGTGGGTTTAGTAACACTCTAACATCCAATACAGAGAAAAATGTCACAGATTCCTTGGTAGATATATCCCAGAAAGAATTTGTGCCATCGTTTTAGTAAATCTAAAAGAATGAGTTACAAACTTTTCTGTGTTTATAATTTTTTTTTAAACCAATATAATTGTGAAGCATGTTATTTCTTGATCACTGTTACCAGTTTTATTAGTGGAATTAAAATATAGATGCACAGTTGTGTAACTTTTTAATCATTTTTATGATTCTCCGCTTCTCCATAGGACATCCAAGCCCTCCACCATGCACTTTGAGGAAACACAAGAATAACAGAAAGCCAAGAACTCCATTCACTACTTCTCAATTGTTGGCCTTGGAAAGGAAATTTAGACAGAAGCAATATCTTTCTATTGCTGAAAGGGCTGAATTTTCAAGCTCTTTGAACCTCACAGAGACACAAGTAAAGATCTGGTTTCAAAACAGAAGAGCCAAAGCAAAGAGGCTTCAAGAGGCTGAACTAGAGAAGCTAAAAATGGCTGCCAAGCCATTACTACCATCCTTTGCTCTTCCGTTTCCTTTAACTGCCCAGCTAGGGTCTGCTTCACCTTATGGACCTCCTAACTCTTTTCAGAGACCTCCCATGCCTGTTCCAGGATTGTTCACAACTCCGGTCACATATGGAATGTATTACTTATCATAAAGACATTAAAAATGAGCAAAGTATTAGATAAACAGGGTATCTCTTGGGTGTTGTAAGGCCTGAAATGCTGAAAACTAAGAGAACCACATACTGTCCTACCCCTATCACCAGAGTGACCTACCATACAGATTAAAAAAAATATTCATTTTGACTTTTTGAATGTGCATTAGTCACAATACACTACATCAGGATGGAATATTATTGGATATAAACTAATCTGATAATGACGCTATAGGAAGCACTTTACTCGTAGGTGCCTTTTCTTCAACAATCCAGCAATGCTGCAGTAACAAAAAGAGTAAAGTGGGTTCATATTTTTTAGTATTGTTTTGTACATTTATTATTTACCAGAAGAAGCACAGAGATTTGGTTGTACAGTTTTCCCAAAAAATGCTTTGCTGTGAATTGATTTGCTGTTTTAGGTAGCCTGGGTAAAAGTACTGTAGACACGGTTGTTTGTTAACTCTGATAACATTCCTTCTCTCTCATCAGGTCATTTTGTTCTCCAGTTGTTGACAACTATAACTATTTGCAGGCACGTTTTACAAATATACTTTACTACATCATGGTACAATGACACCACTAGGGCAGATAGTATTAGTAAAGAAAACTAGTTTACAGAGGTAATCCAGCCAATGTATTATTTAATTATTTTAGAGAGGAGAGAAAATCACGTACCTAAATTCTTGTAGTCTTGCTTTTACATGGCATTACTTGTCAGCGGAGGATAGCTTTGTTAATAGTAGTGATACCTTCAGATGGTGGGCTAGTTGTTATTGTGTCTTCCGTCTATGGAGTAGCCCAGAAGATGCCTGGAGCTGTTGGTGACATGGCAAACTCTCGTATGTGTATCAGTGCAGCCAATTTACTGCTAATAAGAAATGGTGTAGTACATACATGCAGAGTTAGGTAATGAGATGCCTCTTACATCATTATTATCAGTGTAGGCTGTCTCATTGGTTATCTGTCATTAAACTTCCTACAGCCAAGGTAATTATATTAAATATAATGTTTGACTAGGGGACCCTCTTTAATATTGGAGGTAAACTATGACCATGACTTTCATTTTAGTTCTTGAAGGACACAGTAAAACAGTAGGGGTAATGAATCTGACATTCAGCAAACATTCACAGCAGATGAATCTTCCTAATGCATGTGTTTTTAAATGCGAGTGATTGATTCGTCACCAGAGAATGTTCGATGAAAGCCACATTCACTGCTTTATAAATGGATCCCTTAGCGTCTTAATAGAGCAGGACTAAAGGCCAATATCTGCAGATTGTTAGGGTTTGATGTAATATTCTCTGCACAGAATATTTGTCACTAAATTATGGTGTTGTGCATTTTGTTTCAATTAAACTTTGGTTCCATTATCAGTGTGATTAACCTCTTTTGTTGTGAAAAGGAGTAAAATGAGGGAGTGATTTTTTTTTTCATTTGTGGATAGAGTGAGTAAGGTTTAGAACTTCCATTCCTGCTAATGACATTTTATCAAGCAAGAAGTGAGGTTAATTCTCCAACCAAAATACAGACGGGAATGAAAATGCTTTTCTTTAGTAGAGTAGGGGAAGGCTAGATCCCCCATCAGATATTTATTTTTGTCTGTGTCCCTGTTTCAGATTTTCTCTCATTTAACCTGTCTGGTGAACCACTGACAGCAGGATAGGAAGTGGGGGTAAATATGTCTAATGGATCCACAGCTAGCAGTACAAATTGAACAGGCATTTCAATTCATCCCTGCACTAAAAAAAAACAAAAAAACGTTTTGGCATAACAAATTCTTCAAGGGATAAGGTTAAATTAAAATAAAACTATAAGCAAACTTTTTTTTTTTTCATTTTGGATAGTGTAAGGAAGGATTTTTGTTTTTTTTTTTAAAGTAGTTTTTTTTTTTTGCCTTCTTTGTTGTACCATTGGGGAGATTAACCTTCATTTCCTATCCCATAGCCAAAACAGAAATTGAGAGGCAATCCCTGCAAATTAAAGGATTCCATTGGGACCCCCAGGTCACCAGACCTAGTGTGCCTTTTGGAAGATTTACCCTCTATTACTTTTCTGGGGACAACCCGAAATTTGGGATTTTCATTTACTTTCAATGAAAATGGTATACAGGAAAAATGGAGAAGGTTAATTTCCATAACAGGGACACGTATAGAATTCTAGTATTCTAATCCCTATTTATTCTATGCAAAGTTAAAAAAAAAAACAAGTTTTGGCATTAATTATATTTTAATAATTAGATGTAAGGGTTATAAAATTATTTAATAGAATTAGTGGTAGGTATAAAGATGGGGAAGTGTCAGAACCTCTGTTATTGCTGTCTGCATTGTCAGCTGAAACAATTCTCCTTACTTCTTGGATATTTTATGACTGTGAAACAAAACAGGAAGGGAAAATCCACCCAATGGGGCCTAAAAAAACAAACATCAAAAAATACATTTTCTAATAGGGTTGGGTAGGTGTCAGGACTTTATTGCTTTGAATTTACATAAGGGACATTTCCCCTTGTGATGATTACACATTATCAGCCTCACCCTAGATCGAAATTCTGTAGCTTGAGAGACAACAATTAAGCATCAGCAGACTGAGAGTGGGTGTCATTGGGCAGATGAACTGGGCAGGTTTACACACATACTGTAGAAGGTACCCTTCATCATGTGTTTTAATGGAAACATGCACTTTTTACAGCATCCTCTTAAAATAATCTCTTATTCATTTACTGTCGGGTCCGGACGGGAACATAATAGAGTTTACACTACAGTAGCTTATTGAAAGAGCCAAAATTCATAATTTCTAGTTAGAGCATTTAGAAATTCAGCTTAATGATTTTTTAATATTACTTTTAATGAAAAATAAAAGAATATTAACAGAAAAATCTTACAAAACAGACATAAGCAACAGTAAAATAAAAGTGTTTAAATGTGAAAGAATACCTAAGTGGAGTCTGCTTGGTCTTTGGCACAGTGCAGAATTTATAGTAAGTCCTTCAGTGAGTTCAATCCAATGTTGCAGGAGTCAGTGACCCTAATAACATGAGTCTCAGTAGTCCTTAATAGTTCTGATAGTAAACTGAGAGCTCACAGCTATTTGGGCAGCTATCTGTTTTTGTCCCTGGAGAGGATGTTGGACAGCTAACTCCATCCAATCGAAAGGTCTGAGCGGTGTGCTGTAGATGTGTTGAAGAATTCTATTATGCCCCCTTAATTCCATGACAATGTTTCACTATCCAAAAAAACTGAATTATTTAGCAGAATAAAATTAAGATTTGTTAGACACCAAATATGACAGGTCTATAATGTGTCTTTCTAATCGGAGATCTTATGTGTCTCTTTAGCCAGGTGGATCTTGGGTATAATAGGCATGTTTGGTGTCTAACTGACTGATATGTTCTACAATAATTAGAACAATTTTCAGAAGGATAATAGTAGGAGTTATTGAATTTGAAAGGTACGATGAAGGTTTGAAAATAATAGGAGGTCAGTTATAGGTAATATCCAAGGCTCGCTGATCTGTACTTCTTTAACTGCACTCCAGATCATTACTGACCAGACCATTTATGACAGGGCTTCATCAGAAGTCTTTTGAAAGGCCCCGAGTAGTAGTTGAGCTTTATGAGATCTCTACATTCTTTCTAGCTTGGACAAATGAGTCACCTCCAATGACTGTCCAGCATAGCCATGAGATATTTTTTTGTTTTTGTTACAGACTTCTGAATTTTGGGGAAAATTAATGTGGCACTGTATTCATTAGACCTCACTGTCTTCACACTCCTTGCTTTCTGTCCATGTGATAGAAGTAAGGCAGAACAGGAAAAGAACAGGAATGGGACAAAAAGACAGCATGTATAGGCTAAGGGAAAAATCACCTCAACAGAGTAAAAGACAGGATTTAAAATCCAACAGAAATTATAACTCTTCCTTGCGATACCTAAAAGTATTTAAAAAAATGTCCCCGAGTAGCGCTTTAAAGAGGAGCATCAGTAAAAACAAAAATTAAAAGTTAGCAGCTATTAAAACTGTAGCTGCTGACTTTTAATAAACAAACACTGACGGATCCAGTGCCATCCTCATCGGGGTCGGTTCTTCACCAGTCTTTGGGCCCCTGGTGTTGGCATGTTAATTGTGGGCAGCCAGCTGTGAATCCTCATGGCTTCACAGCAGGCTTCCCACTGTACATGCGCAAGTCGCACTGCGCTTTGTGAATGGCCCCGCAGCCTTCTGGGATCTGTTTTGTGGATCTGCTACCTGTGTCAGCTTGGTCTAAAAACTATTTATTGTCATAGTATTCCTGGAGTTAGGCTTTTAACTCTTTCACATTCTATCCAAAATACCATACGCATGCGTTTAACTACATTTTCCAACATGAAAGAATATTATTTTCAAAAGCCACTGCTTTTTGTCGTGCTGAAGAAAAAAGTATGAAAGTAACATAACGTCAGTTCATGCATGCATTTCCTTAAGCATCTGGTGAGTACAAACCATTACAAGCCGAGCTAAACCTGATAATAATAGTAGAGTTTTGGTAGAAGAAACTTTCAAGCCTAAGAAGTCTCTTCTGCTATAAAATTGCGCCTGGCATTTTGTTTCTTTATGTACACTTCCTTTGGCACACTACCCACTTCAAGCATAGAGCCAGGACAATGTAACTCCAAAGTGCATGTGCAAGAGTTACATTATCAGTGGCCACCCAAAGATCAAAGAGGGAAGACACTGGAGCTGGAAGAATCAGTGGTGGTGGCAAACAAAGTTGCAAGAGCAATCGTAGATCTGTAGGAAAGCAGACTAGGGGGTAGGTCTTCCATATTATGCAAGCATGTTGAGCATACTTGCACATTATGGCAAGGTCCCTTGTGCAACTGGAGGATTAGTTTAGAATACAGTGGTGTCCTCTTCACATCCAACATTCATGGGACAATGAAAGAGTGGCAGCAGACTGATGAGATAGCCCATTGCTCACTCTGCTCTCTTTCTCTATCAACATGCTCCTTATGTCTATCAACA